CCGCGAAGGGCCGTGAGAGGGGCCGTGAGAGGCCGTGAGAGGGGCCGCTACGGGGCCGTAGGGGAGCGCGACGGGCCACTAAGGGCAGGGGACGCGACGGGAGGGTAGGCACACGGGGCGCGGCTCGGGCTGGGGCGAAGCGCGCTCCGGGCAGGAAAAAAAATTGATATTCGGTGGGCCCTAGGAAACGTTCCCACTAGGGAACCTACTCTATACCATGTGAAAGAACGAGGAATGAATGAACTAGCAAGCAGGTGGGTACAAGTAGGAAAACCTAAAAATGTTGTATCCCATATTATCTACCCCACTACAGCCTACACAGACTTTAGCATATGAGTTTGATAAGAGCATCAACCATAAACTCCTCGCGACAAGGCGTTTATGGTTTTTTTTTTAATGCAACGTGTAATTCTAAAGAGGTGTATCTTTTTCACATGCAATAAAATGGCCAACGTTGCATTAATTACAAAAGTAAAAGGCCCGAGGTCCTTTCGCGGAATGTATTTTTTTTCATTTTGCAAGTTCCCAATCATGCTACCAAAAATATGATTTTAACCATTTTTGTACGAGCTATGTATATATAAAAGATAGCTCTAAAACTTTTCAGTCCGTGGTAATAGAACAAACGGGGTCCTTCAAAGTGGCAGCGGGACTTGTTCAAAAACAATAAAACAGTGCGTAAAAGCTTTCAAACTCGATAAATTCCTCGATTTCAGGATCATTTCGGCGGGAGTTTCATGTAGTTACCACTCGCGTGATCACTCGCCTGTGTTAAGTTACGTGTTAAGCGTGTTACCAAATGCGCTGAAATCATAACCGTACGCGTTATAGTGCCCCATGAAAGTTACCATTGACATATCTTCCCTACCATAAGAGTTTAATTCACTTCCAGTACATGATGTATATATCAGCATATTACAACATAAATCACTATTACAACATGAATCACAACATTCGGCTGAATTGCCACAGCATTCAAGCGGGACAAGAGCCAGGATTGGGCAAAGGTCCTTCCAGACTGCTGGGCCTTTTGCAGAGCATGATATGGAGCGTACATTTGCACAAAATACATGAGTGGCAGCAAGTCCCTGGCATGTCACTGTTACATTCAGATATGCCACGCACCACGATCCCGACATGCGAATGCCGCAAAACAACCGTTATCTTCAGATGTGCCACACAGGCACCATGATTCCGACATGCAAAGGCCGCACAACATAAATGTAACATGCCATGTCTGCATAATCCAAACCCGAAGCCATCGCACATGGCTTCACCTATGAAAGTCTGTACCTTCCACCTACGGTATTACCTGCTGCCCTCTCTCCTCGTGCACTTACGACCACCATCGCAATTGCCCAAAGTGATTCTGGGGCTCACTGTGTCTCAGGGCTGCCATTGGCCCCATACCATGGCAGGGCTGCCACTTCCCCCATGCCATGGCAGGGCTGCCATTGCTCCCATGACACGACAAGCGGCTCAAACATACCCACTTGTGTTTCACCCAGGGCACAAGGCAGGGCTGGGAGAGGTGCAAGTGAGAGCAGGAGAGGTGGAGAGGATGGGCGGATGGACAGGACTGCAGGCATCAGGGGGCTGCTGCCATTTCATCATCTGCTGCTCGCCCAGCATGCACAGCACTGGGCTCACCCCCTCACCACCACCAACCTCACGCTTTCAGCCCCCTTCCCTTCCACTCACCCTCCACCACCACAGGCTCTTCAACCCTCTTCTCATCCACTCACCACCCCAGGGGTTTCAGCTCTCTTCCACTCACCCACCAAAGGGGTTTCAGCTCCTTCTCCACTCACCCACCCCAGGGCATTCAGCCCTGGCTCCTTCACCCACCACTCAATCTGCGTTCCCCACACTAGCCACCCACACAAACTTACCAACCCACCTACCCGCTTCTTCACCCACCCAACCACGACTCACCCACCCAGGGCAATCAGCCTGGCTCCTTCACCCACCACCTTCGTTCCCCACACTACCCACCCACAAGGAAAATCGCCCTTTTCTCACCACCCTCTGTCACCACCCACTCTCACCACTCACTCAATCCAACAACCTCACCATACCCATCCACAACTCATTGTACCCACTCACTCTCACCACTCAGTGTCACCACACTCTTACCAATCTGGCCACTCAATCTCACCACACTCTCACCACTCAAACTCACCACTCAAACCATGCATCCTCACAACCTACTGTGCTCTCACTCTCACCATAAAGTCACATATCAAACCTGGGCATACCAGCTCCTCTCATGCAACAGGTGGCATCAGTACCATACAGATCATCATGTGCCACCAACCAAGCATGAGCATCATGCTCTCATGCAACAGGTGGCATCAGTGCCATACAGCTCATCATGTGCCACCCAAGGGGACGTAGCTCCTTTCACTTGCTCTCACCCACCCAAGGGGACTCAGCCCCTTTCACCAACTCATGAGCATCACACTTCCATGCACGGGTGGCATCAGTGCAACTCATCATGTGCCCCCAAACAGCCAAGCATGAGCATCATGCTTCCATGCTTAAGGGTGGCATCAGTGCAACTCATCATGTGCCCCCAACCAGCCAAGCATGAGCATCATGCTTCCATGCTTGAGGGTGGCATCAGTGCCATATGGCTCATCATATGCCACCGCCAACCCCACTGCCTCTCACCACCATCACCCCATCCCCTCCCCACCCATCCCCTCCCCACCTTTCCTGCCAGCAGTACGAGCAGCAGACAGCCCACTCCCCTTCGGAAACAGCACCCCCAGGGGCTGTGCCTTGAAGGGCGAGGTGTGGTAGTGGAAAATTGCTTCCAGCCCAAGACTCAAATCCTGCCCCTGACGTAGCTAGAGCTGACGCGAACCAGAGTCGCCGGCCGGTCGACTCTGACGGTGCCCATTAAGCCTTAACGTCAGGATAGTTACTTGAGCACCGAGTGCCGTGCCGCGCAGATTCCACCCACCACACCCCGACCCACAAGACACAACCTCAAAGAGTGCTGCCCCTAAGGAAGTGAACTGCCCACTTGCTCCCACGCTTCCCCCCCACCCCCCTCCTCTCATGCCCCTTCACCCCATGCCTGCTTACCTCTACATACCTTGCGTAGCGCCATGATGCCTCAACCGTGTTGGAAAGTGGGGAGGCGGGAGGGAGAGGGAAGGGGGGAGGATGAAAGGAGAGTTGCCTCAGTCCCGCCCTTGCTCCAGTGCTTCCTCCCTTCCTCTGGGCGCAACAAGGGGTGACAAAGGGGAGGAGGGGGGAACGAGAGGAGAGATGCCACTGTCCCGCCCATGCTCGAGTGCTCCCTCCCCCTCTCAGGCTGCAAGGGGTGGGGGGAGAGAAGAGAGGAGGGGATCAGATCTCTATACCTCACCTGTTACCTCACCTGATACCATACCACACCTCGCTCACGACTCAACCTAGCCTTGCCTGCCCACTAGCCCTCCACCCCCCACTGCTACTGCTGCTGCTGCTGCAACTGCTGCTGCCGGTCTGCTACTCAGCTTCTCTGCTGCAGTCTTCACTCGATGCCAAGTGACCTGGTAGGGGGGGAAGAAGGGGGGAAAGTGAGAGTGAGTTAGTTGGCATGATCATATAAACAAAACAAAACCGAAGTTGACAGAAATGAGACAGCAGAATTGAAGAGGAGAAACAGAGAGGAATGAGGGCAGAGAGGGGAGGTGACGTACCTTGAGAGGCCAAGCCCACCCCGATACTCTCCCTTGTGGCAGCCAGTGGCAGCGCTCCATCTTCACTCGATGCCAAGTGACCTGGTAGGTGCGGAGATAACTGCAGCAACGGGAAGCTAGGCTACGGGCTAGGCACGTGAGCTCGTGTGATCTCTGCGTTCGTTAGTCCCTGGTCGTTTTCCTTGTGTACACACTACTTGCTAGTTCACGGGGAAAATTGGCAAGAGTTTCACTAGAAAAAAGTTCAGAACAAAAGGGGTACAATAAAGTTGGCATAACAAGACTACATCAGAGCAAGCATTCAGGTCAGCCAACTGCCAGCGCAGCTTGGTCGACCGCGTTCCAGCACGACTTCATCGACCGCGCTCCAGCAAGGCAAGGTCGACGGCGTGCCAACGTCGCAGGTTGACGGCATGACAGCGTTGCTCACGCAGGACAGCAGTGCACCCTGCTTCGCAGTTGTGCGCAGATAATTGGCGCGCAGGGTCTTGTCACCTGCACAGCGCACACACCATGTCAACTTCGCGCTGACGACTGCCTCTGATCCGCCACGACGACCTCGGGATACCACCACCGAGGTCGGCCTCGCCAACTTCGCCTGGGCGACCGTCGCACTCCTCCGCAGCACTTCGTCACCCAGGTAACCTGGTCGACCAGGCAACCACGTCGACCAGCAGCTCCCGTACGTGCCCATCGACCTCCCAAGTCGACGACCACCTCCACGTCGACCTCACCAGGTCGATGACACCATCGGCCGACCTCCTCCAGGTCGACATCCCCTCTGGTCGACCAGCTCCACGTCGACCAGCACAGTCGTCGGCCGACCACCCACGTCGGCCACCCTAAGCTGGCGTCACGAAGTTGACGCCCCGCTACTCGACGCCCAACTGCTCGGCGTCCTGAGTCGAGGTCGACGTCGGCCCCTCCTTCGTCGACCACCAGGTCCAGTCGACCACTAACAGGTCGACCAGCAGTCCGTTAGCCGACTACCAAAGTCGGCTTCCCCAAGTTGACGTCACCAAGTTGACGTCCTCCGCAGGTCGACACCCAAGTCGACCTCCCTGAAGTCGGCGCCCGTGCAGTGGTCCCCCGTGGAGGTCGACCTCCTCGTCGACCAGCTCACCCAGTGCTGAAGGCCGACTGCTCCCCTCACACCCGACCACGAAGTCGGCTCCGCCCAAGCGAGGACGGGGCCAATACCCAACTCCCGTTGACAGTAGGGGGGGAAGAAAAAGAGGGGAGTGAAGAGAAAGTGAGCTGGCATGACCAGAAGTTGAGGAAAAACGAGAACACCGAAATGAAAGGCTAAAAGGGAGAGGGATGAGGGCAGAGAGGAGAGGCTGACGTACCTTGCGAGGCCAAGCCCACCCCAATACTCTCCCCTGTGGCAGCGACTGGCAGTGCTGCCTCCCTCCCATCCCCACGGGTACCTACACGGCCACAGGGAAGGGGCGTGAGGTAGCGTCGGTGTTGACCCCCCCCCCTCCCCTCCACCTGCAAGGCACACACGCAGAGCTGGTCAGTGGGCAGCGAGGGGAGGAAGGGTGAGAGTGCAAGAGCGAGAAGAGAGTTTGCAAGGTGAGAGCAGGGAGGGGCCACTGGTGGAGGCCAAGCCACAAAGCACAGACCCCAAGGGGTGAACCTGAGAGGGTACCTGCACCTGAAGGGGTACCTGCACCTGAAGGGGTTACCTGCACCTGAAAGGCTTACCTACACCTGAAGGGGTTACCTGCAACTGATCTACACCTGAGGGGTTACCTGGAGTTGGGGGGTCTGTGGCATGTGAGGCGGACCTAACCAGTGGCACTGCTTCAAGAGGAAGGGTGCGAAAGAAGATGCGACAAACGAAATGGCAGCAGCAAGGGCGAGGGCATGGAGGAAGGGACACTTAGCTGATTGTGTGAGAGCGAGCAGAGGGCAGCTGAAGCACCACTGCAGTCTTCACTCGATGCCAAGTGACCTGGTAAGGGGGGAAGAAAGGGGGGAAGTAAGAGCAAGTGAGCTGGCATGACTAGCAAGAAAACAAGCAAGAGATGAGGAAAACGAGAAGGCGAAATTGAAGAGCAGAAAGGGAGAGGGATGAGGGCAAGAGAGAGGCTGACGTACCTTGAGGGGCCAAGCCCACCCCGATGCTCTCCCTTGTGGCAACGAGAGTCAGTGCTGCCTCCCTCCCATCCCCACAGGTACCTGCACGGCCACAGGGGAGGGGCGTGAGGAAGCGTCGGTGTTGACCCCCGCCCCTCCCCTCCACCTGCAAGGCACACGCAGAGCTGGTCAGTGGGCAGTATTGACATCCAGCAGAGTAGCCAAGTGAGAGTCACACAGGCAGGGCGATAGAGGGGAAGGGCCACTGGAGGGGGCAGGAGCACAAGGCACAGACTGCAGGGGGACCTAAGGAGGTAACCTGAACCTAAACCTGAACCTGAACCTAAACCTGAACCTGAGGGGCCTGTAGGCAAACCTGAACCTGAGCAGGAGAGCATACCTGAGTCAGGGGAAGAGTCTGTGGCTTGTGAGGCTGGCCCAAACCAGTGGCGAAAGTTTCAGGGGCAAAGAGAAAGCAAGGAGTATGAACGATGCGTAGCAAGCAAAGGTGAGGGACGAATATGAGGAAGAGTGACTTAACTGGCAGATGAAGAGCCGCCAACAGGGCTGTTGCCTCATCCCTCCCTCCCCTCCCCTTCTCCTCCAGTGATCCCTCTGCTACCTTCCCCGCCTCTGCTGCCCGCCCAGGTGCTCCCCTCGCCTGCTGCTCGCCTGCTGCCCTCCCCCTGGCTTGTGAAGGTCTGGCAGGGAAGGGAGGGGAGGGAGGGCAGGGTGGAAAGAAAAGGCAGCCGAAAGTAAGAAACACACGTGCAACACCAGAAACGACAGTGCCTGTGACACCAACCACAACCCCACAAGAGCCGCTACCAACCTGAACCTGCACCTGAACTTGAACCTGAACCTGAGGGGGAGTGGGCTCGAGTGGAGTGTGGTGGCAGGGGCGATACTGCAACCTCAACCGTCGATGAGGCCGGCGCTGCTGCCCCGCTGCCCGCGCTCCTGGTGCCCGCCCTGACAAAGTGAATTTGTAACTCGCACGGACTCCCCGAAATCGCACGGAGAACGAGAGGATGATTCAGCGACATTTGGCCTCCCTGCTACTTGTCCCAGGGACGAGACGATGTTCTTTTCCCATTCAGCGACGTCGTCTCGGATCGGAACAAACCTGCAACATGCAGTCGTCGTCACGTCAGACGCGCCACTGAACAATCTTGCGTATACTAAAACGAAAGCATACTACACCACTAAATAAGACTCGGATATACGTGGAGAAAAGCACTAGCACTCAGACATACCTTCCATACGAAAATCGCCATCCTCGCACTTCCAGGCTTCTCGCGCGATTTCCTATTCCGACACGCCATTTCCTCTTCCGACTCGCCATTTCCTCTTCCGACCCGCCATTTCCTCTTCCGACACGCCATTTCCTCTTCCGACACGCCATTTCCTTGTGAAAAGAATGAACAGGAATGAAATGACTAAGTCAGAGTTGGGTACAAATACAACCCTAGAAAGCTGTACCCCATATGTGCTACCCCACTATAGCCTACAAACATGCATCAGCTATAATAATCTGACACACCCCCATAGGCAAAGTGGGGGAGAACAAGGGGTCACAAGACCAGTCAAGCAAAGCAAAGCAAAGCAAGCTCAGGGTGGATCACAAAGTCACCACACAGTCCGAGCACAAGAGCAGGGCTAGAGGCCAGTTCACATGCAAGAGTACAGGCATATATATAAAACTAGACAAGCAGGAGCAGGTATATATATATGTCACAGTACAAGTGAAGTCAAGAGGAGAGCAAGTGAGGCAAGACAGGCACAAGACCCAGCTGGGTGCAAAAGCGCTGATGGTCACAAGGCGCGAGTGCCTTGGTAAACACATCAGCAGTGTTGGCCTCAGAGGCCACGTACGCAAGTCGCAACTGACCACGCTGCTGCAGTTCACGAGCAAGGAAGTAGCGGAGAGCAATGTGCTTCGTTCTGTGCTCCAAGCGCTGCTCTCGACACAAGGCCAACATGGCCTTGTTGTCTACGTACAGCACTGGAGGAGAACGAGGCGGCTCTCCAAGGTCAGTCAGCAGGTAGGTGAGCCAGCGAAGCTCCTGTGCAGCCATGGCCCCGGCGTAGATCTCAGCCTCACAACTGGAGCCGAGAACCGAAGACGAGCGAGTAGACCGCCACGAGACAGAGCCGGAACCAAGGCTGAAGGTGTAACCCTGTGACGACCGCTGCGTAGCCTGGTCGTCAGCCCAAGAAGCGTCCGCGTGGCCGGTAAGGACCACTGGACTCCGCCCTCCAAGCACTAGCCCCATGCCCGACGTACTGCACAGGTAGCGCAATACCCTCTTCGCTGCAGCCATGTGCTCTGGTCTGTGTCTCCCAGGAGCAACATAGCGTGCAAGAATGCTCAGAGGGTATGCAAGGTCAGGTCGTGTGCAGGTCATCAGGTACATGAGGCAGCCAACAAGCTCTACATACGGACCACTCGACTCTACGGACTCATCCGAAGGCAGAGCTGAGAGTGAGTGGCGAGTAGGCAGAGGAGTGGCCTGAGGCGAGGAGTACGTGAAGCCGAAGCGCTGAAGGACCTGCTGCACCATGTGTGACTGAGTCAAGGTAATGGTGCGGCGTGCTCTGTCCTGAGTGATCTGCAAGCCAAGGTAGCTGCGCAGTTCACCCAGGTCTGTGCACGTGTGTCTCTTCAGCAGCTCCGACTTCACGTAGGCGAGTCCAGTAGTGTCCCCTGTGGCAAAGACCAAGTCGTCGACGTACACGAGGATGTAGAACGGCGGCAGGGAAGTGTCGGTGCGAAGAAACAGCGACGGGTCAGCAGAAGAAGGAGCAAACCCAAGAGCCGCAAGCGTAGTCCTCAGTGTGTCGTGCCACTCACGCGGTGCCTGGCGGAGACCGTAGACTGGCCGTCGGAGGCTCCACTGGGTGCCAGGAGGGAAAGTCCCAGTGAAGCCAGGTGGACGGTGAAGCCAGATCTCCTCGTGCAGGCTACCCTGCAAGAACGCAGTGCTGAAGTCGAGAGAGTGAAGCTCGTAGTCGCGCTGAGCGGCTATGTGCAGCAGCACCCAAAGAGTAGTCATCTTCGGGGTGGGAGAGAAGGTCTGAAAGTAGTCAACTCCCTGCCGCTGACTGAAGCCACGAGCAACGTACCGTGCCTTGAAGACAGGTGGAGAGCCGGGCGGCCGCTTCACCCTGAAGATCCACATGCCACTGACGATGTTCGCCCCAGGAGGGGGAACCGCGTCAACGTAGGTGCCTGTGGACTTCCAGGAAGCCATCTCTGCATCCATAGCTGCCTGCCACTGAGAGGAGTAGGGACCCTCTACGGCCTCCGCGTAAGAACGCGGAGTCGGGATGTCTAGTGCATCCGGGTCTCCCTCAGGGGCAAGCAGTACAGACGCGAGATGAGGTGAAGCAGCCGCTAGACACTGTAACTCCTCCTGCCTGTCCTCTAGGACGTCCGTGCCAAGAGCACACTCACCCCCGACGGACGGAGGACAGACAGACGCAGACTCAGCAACAAGACTAGTAGCGTAGTCGAGACGACAGCGAGCAGCAAAGTCGACGAGCTCAGCGACTAGAGCAGACGCAGCAGTGGACTCAAAAGAGGGGTCAGTGACGACAGTAGCAAGCAGACGCGTGACAGTAGGACTGGCAGCACGAAGAGAGTCCGACTCAGGGTCGGTAAGCGCAGGAAGAGAGGACTCAGGAGGAGAAGGCAAAGGGGCACGCAGAGGAGCAGTGGACGGACGCAAAGACATCCGGTGCGTGCCAGGGACAGGAGGAGGACGCTGACGCGAACTGCGACCACTAGCGCGAGCAGCACGAACAGGCGACGCGGGACGAGACGCAGGCTCACGACGCTCAGCAAGACCTCCAGTAGGACCAGTGTAAGGAGAGGGAGCAGGCAGTGGAGAGGAAGGCTCCAGCAGGGACTGCGACTGGACAAGCGGTGGACCCTCTACTGGAGGAGAAAGACCAAGAACCTGCTGCAGGAGCGGAACGAAGTACGGCCGAGGCCGCGCGGCAGCTCCAGACTCAGCAGGGACAGCACCAGCACCCTCAGCGACAGCACCAGCGCCACCCACACCTCCAGCGGCAGGACCAACAGCAGTAGGCTCAGCACCAACGCCCTCAACTGCTCCAGCTCCAGGAGGACCCGCAGGACCAGCAGCTCCGGGACCGGCAGCACCCGCACCCTCGACGGTCGAAGAAGCTCCAGCTCCAGCAGCACCTCCAGACTCAGCAGCACGCCTCCAGCGGCGAGCGAACCACTCACGCAGCTCCTGTGGAGAGAGGGGCTCCCGGCGAGACGCAGCAGCAGGAGAAACCCCAGGCTCAGCAGCTCCAGACGCAGCACCCCCAGGCTCAGCAGCTCCAGGCACAGCACCCCCCGACTCAGCACCCCCAGGCTCCGCACCCTCCGCAGTAGTACCCTCAGGCCCAGCACCCCCAGCAGTAGCACCCCCAGGCTCAGCACCCCCGCGCACAGCACCCCCAGAGTCAGCACCCCCAGGCTCAGCACCGGCAGCAGCACCAGAGTCACCAGTAACCTCGACCGGGTCAACGGCGTCTACCTGGGACACACCTGAGGGGGCAGGAACCTGAGGGGGGAGTGGGTCTACCGGGGGGGGAACCGGCACAAGGAAGTCCGGGGGAGGGGGGAGGGAAGGAGTGCGGTAGGGGAAGAGACGGTAGAAGGGGACTGACTCGTCGAACGTGACGTCCTGGGAGGACAGAACACGACGAGAGGAGGGGTGGTAAAACTGCCACCCTGGGGCGTCAGTGGGGAAGCCAAGGAAGACACAGGGAGCAGCATGAGGGGACAGCTTGTCCGCAGACAAGTCGCGGACAAACGCCCGAGATCCCCAGACACGGAACACAGACGCATCGCCAACCTTCCCCGTCCACAGCAAGGCTGGGGACATCGCAGGCCGAGAGACCCGGGGGTGAAGGTTGAGCTGATGCGCCGCGTACCTCACCGCAAACGGCCACAGAAAATGGGGGGCAGCCGCATGCATCATGGACGTACGAGCGACATCCATGACCATGCCAATGCGGCGCTCAGCAATCCCATTTTGCTGTGGTGAGTCCGGAAGCGTGAAGGTCTGGCGGATCCCCCGTGCACGACAATAGTCTCGTAGAAGGCGAGAAGAGAACTCTCCGCCTCTGTCCGAGTGCAGACGCAGAACAGGAAAGTCCGAGCCGAAGCTCTTCCTGAGCTGGAGACGAGCCTCGCGGATCCAGTCGATCAGCACCTCAGTGACCGCACCCTTGCTGCGCAAGGGGAGGACTGTGGTGTAACGCGAGTAGTCGTCAACCACCAACAGGAAGTAGCGCTCGTGACCCTGCCCACGGACGGGGGCTGGGCCCCACACATCCATGTGAAGCGTCTGCAGGGGAGCCTCTGTCGGGGGGAAGTGGGAGGAGTGAGGAGTAGCCCGGAGGCGACCCTTGACACAGGGAACACAGGAAGGTCCTGGCCCGGAGGGGAGAGGAGGGAGAGACTGGGGAAGACCAGAGACAAGGACACGGGAAGCCATGCTCCGAAGACGGGGCAAGGAGGGGTGGCCAAGACGGTGGTGCCACAGGAGAGTCTCGTGAGACAGGAGGCGACAAGAACAGGGGGCAGACTCAGGACCTGACCGGGACGCAGCAGCAAGCACCTGACCTGACGCAGCCACCTGACCAGACGCAGGGATAGGAGGAGACTCAACGGTCAGGGTGTAGAGACTCGACCCCGGCCGACGCGAGAACGTGGCCAGGTGTCGGCCTGTGCGTGCCTCCGTGCAGTGGGTCACCCGCTGACTCGCAGGAGTGAACTGGTGAACCCCCACATCCTGCAGGTCCGCGCCACTCACCAAGTTCGTAGAGATCGAGGGAAGGTACAGACCAGACAGGGTGCCCGAAGGGGCAGCCGGACACGGGAGGACAGTGGAGAAGTGAGACAGGACAGGACCCCCAGAGGGGTCAGCAAGGGAGACTGCAACCGGCCGGCCGAGCGGCGTAAGGGTAGTGCGGTCTCGAAAGAAGGAGCGAGAAGCCCCGGAGTCAAGTGTGAAAGTGAGGGAGGACGAGGACGACGCAGTACCTGAGAGCGCAGTCTCACCAGTACCCGAG